CGACCGCGTTGGTTCCCTCCGTCGCGGGCGTGCGGTGGTGGTGCGGCTCGGCCGGTGGCGGTCCGGCGACCTGGTGGTGGTGGCCGGCGGCGCACGTGGTGGTGGTGCTTCCACTTGGCGGCTCTCTGTGCGGGGAGGCAGGGGAGCGGCTTGGACAGGGGCGGCGGCGTCGACGGCGTGCCGGCTGCAGCGCGAAGGCGGGAACTTTACGGGCCTCGGAGATCCCGGCCGGGCCTGTGCGGCCACGGGCCTGGTATGTTCCTGCTATTGCGTCCGGTCAGCTACCGTCGAGACGGTGGAGGTGGGGCCCTCCCGCGTGCCGACGGTGCTGCTGCCCTAGTCCCGGCTCCTCTCCTTCTTTGTGCGGACCATGCTTCACGGTGCCGTGGGGAGACGGCATGAGAAGCTTCGTGACCGGGTTGGCGCAGGGTGAGGGTCTGTTTGGTGGCGAGCTCTGGAGTGCCTGAGGTGGTGGTTGGGATCGGGAGAAATCTCTGTTGGCTTGGCCGACACTGACGCGGTGGCGCTTGTGGGTACCGCCTGACCTTCCTGAAGGGCGTCGGGGCTACCCTTCCTCTCTCCTCACAGCGTACCGGGGGAAACCCTTGGCAGCAGCGTCGTCATCGTCGCGGTCCTTCTTGGAGGTGTTGATTGGTACCGGCACTTCGGAAGCTCGGAGCTTGGTGGGCGATCTCCGGTGGGCGCAGCGGCCTCGAGGCTTCTTCGTTTTTTGTCGATCCGCCGTTGTTGGCATTAGTTTCTTTTGTATTTTCTCTTTCTTTCCTTTTGGGCGTGACTGTGCTGCTTCCGCCCCAGCACCTATCGTTGGATGTTCGGTTGGTTGCTTTGTATACAAAGCGGGGGGAAACCCTTTTTCGGAATCTTATCATCATCTTTGCAAAATCAACCTTAAACAAAAGGGCATTTTGTTTCCAATGATGGATAGAATTTAAAGCTTCATGTAGAACAAGTGAACAACCACACCTTCCATGATATATCTTCCTTTCAGAAAACCAGTCTGAGTTTGTGAGATGATAGGGCTCACCACTTTGCTAAGACTATTCATCGACACTTTAGTAATTATTTTAAAACTCACACTCAGTAAACAAATAGGTCTAAACTTCTCATTTTGTTTAGCATCCAGTCTACAAGTACATGATGTTGCAGAAGATGACCTGGATGGCCACATGTCCTCTTAGGAAACTAGGCAGCATTAGCATTGGTACGACTCCAAATGGAATGAGGGACACGCAATGTCCGGAATTAAAAAGATGGGGTCAACTTATTCAATTTTGAAGTTTGCAGACCAAAAATAATCAATCTGACAAGGGGTGAAAAAACACGTATGTCATATATCAATGTTACAAATTGTTATATTATTGTTCGTTTAGTAAGAACTGAAGATGATACACAGGCCAATTCACAAGGTCTTCAATACAAATTTGAGATAGGTAGTACTGCAGTATCTCAGATATCAATGTGTCAAATTGTTATATTATTGTTCCTTCAGTAAGAACTGAAGATACACGAGCCAAACCACAAGGTCTAAAATACAAATTTGAGATATGGCATTACCACAGTATCTCAGATATCAATATGAAAATTGTTATATTATTGTCCATTCAGTAAGAACTGAAGATAATACACGAGCCAAACCACAAGGTCTCGAATACAAATTTGAGATACATAGTACCACAGCGATGGGAAAATATGGCTAATACAATGCAAGAATGTAGAAATACAGACTCGCTTGGTTGTTCATCAGATCCCAAATGTTCTGAGGGGATCTTCTTTGCTTCCCATCATAGGAGGAAGGGCAAAGGAAAAATGGTAATAGTACACACTCTACCGCCTTAGGCTGTGCATAATGTATTCCCCGTACAGATCCCTGAAAAAGAATCAAAGCAATTTTTGTCAACATAAATCGACGCCTTGGAGCCTCGAGGACTCTCTGTCTTTAACTAGAGGATCATATCCTCCAAAATGATGAGAGCTTACATGGAGTGTTGGATGGCAGCACGAGCATCATCGGCGGGGAGGAAGTCGTTGACAGCGACCTCCTTGTTCTCATTCTTCTTGTCTGAAAGATTTGATCAGCCAAGAATCAGGCACTTGAAGTCTGAAGATACATGAAAAGGTTGTGGAAATGCGAGATGAGGCAGGCAATGGTATGCGTACAATCTTCGAAGAAGCGGCGGATCTCCTGGAGGCGATGAGGAGAGAGCTCGCTGAGATGGTTCAGGTTGTGGTACTCGGGGTCGTCGGCGCAGACGGCTATGATCTTGTCATCCTTCTCTCCCTGTTCAAGAAAAAGAAACAGAGAGTATGATATAAATATAAGCTTGATGCCAAAATGGTGGGTGGAAAGTTGACTTGTACACTTGGACAGAGATGAGGGGATTGGTTTAGCGTGCCTGGTCGATCATAGGCATGAGGCCGATGGCCCTGGCCCGGAGGAAGGTGCCGGGGAGGACCGGTTCCTGGTTTGAAATGAAATGAAATAATTAACAGGCAGTCGTCAGAAAAGGAACGGTGGGTAATGCAGACGGTGATGTATTGACAGGATTGTTAATTTGCACTTGTGAGAACCGGAGCATGATTGGAGTGTTGAATCGATTCATTTACCTGCATGAGGACGAGGACATCGATGGGGTCGTTATCCTCGCAGAGGGTGCGTGGGACGAAGCCGTAGTTGTGAGGGTACACCACGGACGAGTAGAGGATCCGGTCAACCTGGCAGGCAGATGATGATCTCGGCGAGTCAGGAACACATTCATGCCCATGCCAATGCAAATTAACAGGGGAAAAGTTTCGGACCTTGATCATCCCGGTCTTCTTGTCGAGCTCGTACTTGACCTTGCTCCCCTTGGTGATCTCCACCACCACGTTGAACACCGCCGGAGCGCCGGGGCCTGCACCAGCCAATTCGCGCAAGGGATCAACCAATCAGCACGCGTTCCGCGTGAGCAACCAACCAACCAACAGCTCCGGCCGGGCGGGCGGATCTGAGACGAAATGGGGAAGGGGCTCACCGATCTCGAGGTCGTGCCACGGGTGGGCGGCGACGGACCTCCGGGAGAGGGAGGAGAGGATCCGCTCGTTGAGCCGCGGCGTCTGCCTCTTGGGCTCCGCCGCGGCCTTGTCGCCGGCGGCCTTGTCCTGGCTCATCTTCGGTCGAAGGAGGTCGCTGCTTAATCTGCTGCGTGTGCTGGATCGTTGCGCGGCTCCGAGGACGGGATGCCGAAACGTCCGCGGCTCGGCGTGCATATATAGGGGAGAGAGGGCAGTTGGCGGGGCGGGGGGACGAGCGGTGAACGCGTCGTCGTCGAATGCATGCGGTGTCGTGCCGTGCCGTGCCGTGCCGGTGCGAAGCTTCGGCCCCGCATCCAGACCGATCACACCAACACCGTCAACAGAAATCATAAACACAGTATAAACAAACTGGGCAACTGGGCTGGGCAGAACCCCTGCACATGCGCAACGTGCATGGATCAAAGCATCCAGTCACTCACAACGCACTAGGCGCCATCGTTCGTACGTAAATAAATGAATAAAAGCTGCCACTGGCACGATGCTGTGGTCAAATTTAAATTATTTTTCCTCGTGATGGGGGGCACACGCCACCATGTTCATGGACGTGCCGTGATCATCGTGTCAACTTTGGGCGGTCTCGCCCGGCTGGACGGAGTGACCCACCCACCACACACCGGTTTGTCCCGCGAATTGATTTATTTTCATTTCGCATCGAAGCACAAATCAGCTCACCGTGAACCGCCTGTGGACTGCGAACGCCCAGTGAATGTTGATACTCCCCGCTGTACTAGATAACAGTCAGAGGTGTTGGGAGAGGATGATTAACTCAAGCTTCCCTCCACTATGGTGATTGTGGTCTAACAATGGACGAACAGGCGCCGGATTCAGATCGATCTACATAACACAAGTCGAGTTCAGTGTTTTTTTTTTGTTCTTTGTATCAGGATACATGGATGATTAACTCAAGCTATGCGGTGTCTCGCGAGTCCAGGAAATTATGAATAAGCCGATGCATGTCATCCCGATAGCGCTGCTGCCAATGCCCATTGAATGGTAGTTGTTCCGCCCTGACTTCAGACGGTCCGCAAGGGCGGCGAAACCAGTATCACGCCATCTCCTCGGACAAAAAGGTAGGGGATGGTGCGCTTGCTGGTCTGGAATCATTGGAATAGCAAATACATTAGTAAATCTATCACACGTCAGCAGCCAGGTAGTAAATCTATCACACAACACTAGCCGGAAGAACCTGACAGCATTTTGTATCGTTTTATCAATCAAATTACCACAAACAACAGCCACACAGATTTTTAACAAGTTGACGAAATGAGGAAAACAAGAAATCGGGTTTAACAGAAGAAATTGTAGTAAAATAGAATGAATTATTGTATAAACTGTAAAGTAACCACAATCGGGTTTAAGGCTGGTCATAGTGGGAGTAACTTAGCTAGTAACATAGCGTTCTTCGAGAAAATTCTGCTTATGTGGCAAGTAATTAATGAGAGGTGGTAACATAATATGTTACTGTAACATAGCGTTTTCCAAGACAAAATGAGTCTATGAGCTAGTAAATGAAGCCATCTATGATACTACTATTATGTTACTTTGCATTATGAAGGTAGTAACTTAGACTAGTGTCATATGCATGACACTAGTCTATGTTACTCCCCACTATGACCAGCCTAACAAGTTTCAGTAAGTAAGTTCAAAAACCCTGGCTGCAATAACTGTATACGAAAAACAATGGTGCTATGATTATCCAATATAACAAGCATTGCCAGAAATACAAGCGGTTAAGATGGCACATTTATAAACACAGAGCATTGTAATAGTGCACCTCCCAAATTACATATGAGTGAGGAACTGAGGATTGTGTGAGCCATGGCTTCATGTTAAACAGTATGATGGTCAAGTGCCAAACCCTCACTCCAAAGGGGGCTATACACATCTTTTAACACAAACTAGATAAACATATTGGAATAACTAATGGTTTCAATTTGAAAAAAAACGAGTAATCGACAGTCCGAATTTGAACAGACTGACATCAGCATGGAGTGCACAATTTTTGAGGAACGAGAAATTACTTACACGAACAATCTCCTCGTAAGTCTCATCATCAATTTCAATGGAAGTCACTATCTCTTCTACATCTCCAAGTATCATATTGAGATGTTGATCATACGCCTGGATCAAAGGAAGAATAAAGGGAGCTTAGAAACAGAGAATCTCAAATTTCCCAACTGTTAGTACAACTGAATAACAGTGCATAAATACAGCATGACCCATAGGCAGCACCATACAACCCACATAATTTGCTTAGAAGTATACAATTGTGATGAATCAGTGAAATGATCATAATGCCCAACGGGCAATAAGTTATAACCTCTTAAGCAACCCAAAGTCTTACGTTGAAATACCGAGATGACTTTGCCATTACGATCCTACATATTTCTATGAACTCAAAATTAAAATACTACTCCCTCCGTCCGGAAATACTTGTCGGGGAAATGGATGTATCTAGACGTATTTTAGTTCTAGATACATCCATTTTCGCGACAAGTAATTCCGGACGGAGGGAGTACATTGCAATACATCTGATTCCACTACTCGAGAAAACTTTCAAATCAGCATGTTAAGCTTTATCTACAGCAAGCAGTTATTCACTTATTGATGATGTCTATAATGAAAGCCTCTATTCGCATTCATATTCAATAGAAGGGGAAAGGGACAAATCATATGAGGCCCTACACAGATCAATTCGGGTTCTGATGCCTTAGAGCAACTCCAGCTGCGCCCCCAACAGCCCCCTCTCCCCCCAAGGCGATTTGTTTGAGCCAGCGCCGCCGGCAACCACGAGGCATGGGCGGCGTACTTCGGACGCCATCAGGCGGCGCGGTTGGCCTCCACCAATAACGCTCCTCTGGTGCGGGGCACCAAGAACAGCGACGGCCGCCGCCTGCGGTGGGGCACCCCCGGCCACACGCTCCATGCCGTCCTCCGGCACCTCGAGGGCGGCAACGCGCCGCCGTTGAGGAGGACCGGCTCCTCCCGCTCCTCCTCGCACTCCTCTGGGTCGCCGGCGCTCTTCAGCGTTAAGGCCGAGCCAGCAGAGACGCCGCTCGGCCGGCGCACCCGCAGCGCCGGCATCGTCATCAACGACGGCCGGCGCGCCTCCTCCTCCTCGGCTCCCCCCCGCCTCGTCAAGCCGAAGACGGAGCCAGGGCTCGCCGCCGTGAAGACGGAGCCAGGTCTCGCCGGCGTCAAGACGGAGCCGGGGCTCGACGACGCGGCGGCCATGAAGTGGGCGCGGGAGGACTGGGCGCGGCTAGAGTTGGAGCGCCAGCGCCGCGCCCTAGAGGAGATCGCCGCTCGGCGCCGGGGCCGCGACAAGGGAGGCGTCGTCGTTCTCGACAACAACAATGACGACGCGCTGCCGACGGTCCACAGGCGACCCCGGGCAGGGGTCCAGCAGTGGCGTCCGCATGAAGGAGGAGAAGGACGACGACGACGGCAGCAACGACGGCGACTAGGCCGTGTTCAGCGAGTTCTTCGGCCTGTAGTCGCGACCTTGTTTTTTTCTTAAAGTAAATTTTAAATTTGCTATGTAAAACTGCTTTAAGTCGCCGATGTTTATGTCCTGCTTGCCGAATTTTAGCCAAATTTATTTTTAAAAAGTTTGAAATAGGCGTCTGGGGGCGACCCTGGGGGCGGCGTTTGGACCCCGATCGGCCCCAGGCCGATTTTAGCGCCGATTCGCCCCCAGGCGGCGATTTTTCGAGCCGCCTGGGGGGCCAAACGGCTGGGGTTGCTCTTACAGTTCAACCATAAGTAAACGAAGCTCAGTTTACACACCACAACTCGTTTCTCCAGGCAATAATATCAGTTGTTAAATTGCGTAAGCCAGCCCAAACACATACTGGAGACATAAACAAGAGCACTGATGCGACCAAACCCAGATCGACAGCAGAAATTACGAAGAGGGGCGAGGAAACATACATGGAGCTTGCCGCGGAGCTCGCGGTCGGAGCGGAGCTTGACGTAGATGCGCTCGTCGAGGCTGAGCCGTATGAGATCCAGCGGCTCCTTCACCGCCACATCCTCCTCCGACGCCATCGCCGCCGGCTGCTACTCCCTTCCGCTGCTCGCTCCCCAAACCCTAGCTTCTGAATCGAGCTGCTTCACTTCCGCGGCGTTCTTTTTTTTTCTTCCTTGTCGGGTTAGACAAGTACAGTATACAATCTACATGGGCTTTGGACTTGTGGGCCCATATTGGTAATGTATGGGCTACTACTCCTTAGCTAATATGTTGGCGTTGCTAAAAAAAACCTAATATGTTGGCCCATATTACTTCCTTGTGCAAACTGGAAACAAAATTGATCCCCTCAATAAGAAAAAAAAAACTAAAAAATCGATGCTCCCCGCCGAGTTTGAAGGGATAAACTACACTGCACCGGTACTGTAGCTGCCTAAATTTAGCTCTCCTACATCTCAGAAAATGAGCTTAGCTATTCTATGCAAGGGGCCGGTCAAAACTCATAACGGTCTGCGTAAGCCAGAAACATTCAGCTCGATTTACCATGGAGAACAAAAAGAAGGATTGCCATGGAGATTCTCAAATGGCATTATAAGTTTATAACGGAACTACAGAAAAGACCGGGGGTGAAATGTGTTAGACCAGTGATTCTCGCCTCTCCGCAAAATAGATTCAATGCTAGCTAAAAGTCGAACACAAACTCACTAGTTAAAGGGTTTCTTGACAGGGCATTCGAGGTCAAGCACCAGCGGATGTCATCAACCACATCATGCTCAATATGGAAATAAACTACGAAGGAGTAGCACTGCCTTGTAAACACCGAAGTGTTTGTCAGGCTAGGCCCCGCGCCAAGCGGGTTTACGGTTATCACTAATCGGCCCCGAGTCACCCGGCTGGCTTATCGGATATTCATGCTAGTATAAAAACCACCTGATCTGCCATGCAGTCATGTAACCTGAATCAGTTGAATGCCTTGTCGACTGTCAAGTGCCAAACACATTCCCCCAACACACCAGGAGAGATGTGCTCCAGAACCATCCCACTCCAGTTCATAGCACGTTCTGCTAGTCCTCTCTCCAAGGGGATTGGAGAGAATTACTGGAGGGGGTTAAGGGGGATCAACTCTCTCCAACTGTCTCCAACCCCCACAGAACCGAACAGGGGCGCTCTGAACGCGGCGGTTCCGAACAAGACACGCTGCAAGTTCCTCCCCGGCGTCACCTCCGTCGCGCCTAGTTCATCGCCTTTGCTGCATGTGCTCCGCTGGGAGCAGGGGCCGTGGAGCCGCCCGGCGGCGAGGACGAAGGCGCGACACGAGGACGGCGCGGCGGAGGGCGAGCCGGAGGCGCCGGGGGAGGCCGAGGGAAAGCAGGGAGACGAGAAAGTGGCGAGGAGGAAGAGCGCCGCGCAGGAGGTGTTTGAAGGCCTGTACATCTGCGGCTACGTCCTGTTCTACAGGATTGGTGAGTGCATCTGGTATAAAGTGAAGGCAGGCATTGCCAGACTCCGCAAGAGGCGATGATATATGCTGCGGGTTGATCGGGTTAATTACGTACTACTGCAGCAGTACTTGCTGCGTGCTTATTAGTCCCCTCCATGCTCGTTGTGACGCCTCGTGCTCGTACGCATGGGGATTGTATTCTCCTTTCTAGCTGCTCGCATGTAAGGTTGGTTTGCTGATTCAGAAGAGAGTGTATTCTGGTGGTTTCTAGTTGGCATACAAATGCTGATTTGGTCCCATGATTGCCCGGTTGGATTAAGATCATTGGTGTGTGAGACCAAAGAACTGCACAGGTTTTTTTACAACTAATGACTTGACAAACTTTTCTGGTAGCTTATCCAATCCGAACGGATATTCATAACTTAGGACTGCGAAGGGGATGCAACTTCTTCAAAATAACAAGGCGGTTTCTTCGGAAGAAGGCATTTTTGTTACTCTCGTCGTTTGATCTCGCGAAGCAACTAAAATTTGTGAGGAAAAAGCGCTCACTTGCGACCCCCCTCCCTGCTGACGTTCGCCAGATAACATTACTAATAACTTACGTTCCAAATAAGGAAATTTATGAGTTGCAACTTGCAAGCCTAACAGTTGGCAAGGAGTTACCAAGTCCCAGTTTTGTGGTGGTTGAACTAGTTAGAGGTAGTAAGTAGAGAGGATTAGTTTACACATGATATGGTCTTTTAAACTCTTATAAGTAAAATAGAAGTAAATGGAATGTTTATAGAGAAGAAAATAATAGAATATTGGAATGGCTTGGGTGCAACCCAAAAATTGTCATGCAGCGCTATCCAGGAAACAAAACGTTCGAGAGTGATATAGAGAGATGGTCTTCTTCCGAGCCCGTATGCAAATAATTCGCTCATTTTGAGTTTTTCCTCATTTTGACCAAAGGACATTAAAATGACAGGGATCAACACGAAATATGAAAGTGAACTAGAAAACATTGAATTCAACAAATAAAACAAATCACAACAATTACACAAGTTGATGTGATCTGACAAAAAAAATGAACATGTTCAGCACGGTTAAGCATCCACCGGATACAAGTACATGTATCACGTACCTATCAGCGGTTAACCGTGCTCATCAAGACGAAAATAATAAAAATTACACCACATCATTCGCATGTATACGCACATGCGGCCAACGCAATGCTAGTAATTAACTCCTCCCCTACTGTCCGCTGCTTCAGTAGAGGAAATATGCGACGAGGGAGGCGACGAGGGCGGCGGGGGCGATTGCCACCTCGGAGGCATCGCTGGTGGCAGGAGCAGCCTCGGAGGCCATGACGGCGGTGGCCGAGGCAGCGGCGATGAGGACGGCGAAGGCGATCTTCTTCATCTCCATTTCTGAAGGACGGTGGTGCGGTGGAGACCGGCGAGGTGGTGGGGGGTTATTGATCACGGTTTTATTAGCTGGGATTTGGAAGTCTTATTTAGCTTGATGATGAACGATGCTTGGGAGGGGATTTTATAGGTCAGGATGGTTGGAGTATGAGTGGTTAGGAGCAGGAGCAGGATGATCGCGCTCTTGGCAGCCTTAGGATGGTTTAACGGTGGTCGCAGAGCGGAGAGGGTCAGAGGGAGGCAAAAATAGGCATGCCATGCATGCGTTTGTAGCTGATTATTTGCCCGGTTTCCTCATCCTTAGGACGCATGTAACTGTCAAAAAAATCAGAGGAACATGTACTTTTTTTTTTGCGGGTGAGAGGAACGTGTACTCACCAGGCATGCATGCATATCTTGTTTCACTGCTAGCATCGTAACAGATATGGAATTGAGGGTTGTCTATATTCATATAGTGTAGGTCTTTCTGAAATTTTATGAAGGGAAAAATCACGGCCGAAGCAGAATCTATAGTGACATCTACTACTTAATTAATGGAGCAATTCTCTTGTCTTTGGGAACTTTGGAACCGGCTGAAGATGAAGAAAGAAATTGCAGTGCCGCCCACGACTCCACGAGACAGACAATGCCACGAATCCCCGTGACGCGGTTCGCATCACATCGACAGTTCAACGCCAAATGGTATACCCTAACACGGCCGGCTAGTCGGCTACAATAATAATTTGTTGATTACAGCTATTCTATGGTTGCCGCTAGTTCCAACCATACCAGCTCACGCACACGATAGCAAGAAGATCATTGTTGATACCGCAACTCTTAGTAGGCTGCAGGCTTATAAAACATCGCCTTCGGTTGTCACCACTCACCACGCTTCTAGTTTTCCTCCGCCGTTTCTTTCACGTCTGTTGCGCTTGCACTGCGTGGCAAGAGACGGCAAAGGAAGGATGGGGAACTGCGGGTTGAAGCCGAAGGCGCTGGGCGACGACGACGCTCCCCCGCCTGCCGAGCCGCCGACGGCACCGGCGACCGGCGCGGAACAGGAGGTGGCGCTGCCGGCGGTGGTGGAAGAGGCACAGGCACCCGCGGAGGAAGCTAGCAGGGACGTCGTGGCCGGCCAACAGAGTGAGGTACGGCGCAGCTAGAGGTTTTGTTCATCTCTCAACTGCTACCGAATTCATGTAGGAGTACTTCTTTTCTTCTCTGCTAGACTGCTACCGGCACCAGCAGCAGTCTTTTTGCTAGTAGGAGCATATGCGTACCGGCACCTGGATGTTTAGTAAGTTCATGTCTTTTCGTTCACCCTTCATTAGATTATTTTTAGGTTTTTTGGTTTGTTTTTGAGTTTGGGCGATATAGCTTTTTTTTTGAGCAATCAGCTTGATCTTTATGTGTGTTGCACACAAGCCTTTGACGCTTTGTGTGGAGTAGGCCCGTTTGCCACTCGGCCCAAGGTGATCCGAGTTTGTTCCTATTGTTTTCACTTTATATTGTTTCATCAGCTCAAAAAAACCTTTATTTCTCATGATTTTTTTGCCTTTTTTTTGTTTTAGCTTTTATCTATATATAGGTGATCGACAACTTCTTATTTCCAAGCTGAAGATCCTAAACGAGCAGTATATATTAATTAAGAACTGGGCCGTTGCATATTCTTAACCGTGTGTAGTGTTAAGTTTAGACAACTATAGAGACACAATTTCGTTTCGTGCAACTTCAAACGTCATAATGTCCAACTTGGACAACACAAAAATGACATCCATTTTAAAAAAGATGACTATTTTCAGGCAACTTATAATAGGGAGAATGTTCACTTTCTAGAATTTTTTGTGTGTTTACCAGTGGGGGAACCAATTTACTACTTCCTTTGATCCATAATAAGTGCCATGATTTTTTTTGCCCTTTTTTGTTTTAGCTTTTATCTATAAATAGGCAACCGAGAAATTATTATTTCAAAGCCGAAGATCCTAAACAAGCATTACTTATCAATTGAGAACTAGGCAGTTGCATATTCTTAACCGTGTGTGTTAAGTTTAGACAACTATAGAGACACAATTTCGTTTCGTGAAACTTCAAACGTCCTAATGTGCAACTTAGACAACACAAAAATGACTTTCATTTTAAAAAAGATGACTATTTTCAGGCAACTTATAACATGGTAAATCTTTTCTTTTTGTGACGCGCTATGGCATGACGCCCTGTGTCGCGCGTTGCTATTGGGTATTTCCACTTTGCAAGG